GGGGGGCTACAGTAATAGCTTAATCTTCATTCTACATGGGCAAAATTTAAGCATGCCCAACTTACACGCTGCAGGCTGAAACCAATTCAAAGAAAATTGAATCCGTAAATGGAATCTTCTTGTCTCTTATGAATTGTGCAACAAGCAAGACTTTGCCCGGTTGGGATCCTTTGTTGAAACCTCTCATAAGTGCAGAACAAGCAACTGAATCTGGCTGGACATTGTTCAGTTCCATTTCTTGAAATACTGCAAAAGCTTTCTCCCAGTTCTCTGCAAAATATGGTTCCTTTCAGTGAGCTCCGGATATTTCCCGTTGCAAAGTTAATGTTCAAGATATGAACTCACCACCAATATTATATGCATGTAGCATTGTCGTATATGCAACAACATCAGGATGAAAACCAGCCACTTTCATCGTGTTGAACATAGATTCTGCTTCAACTAGTTGACCCTGAAATCAGGAAGACAGAAATACAGTTCTACGATTTAACCAAGATATCGCAGTATTCATAAACACGGACTTATCTAAACTACTTGCCTGTTTGCTGTAGGCACAAATTGCTGAAGAATATACCTCCTTTGACAAAGGAATCTTCAGGTCCATCATCTCAACGAGCAATTCGAGTGCCTCATTGTACTTTGACATCTTACAACTACCACTTATTAACACATTAAAAGTAACAGAATCAGGTTTAACTTTCTTGTCCCTCATACACCTATATAACATTAAAGCTTTCTCATATTCGCCAATATTCATATAACTTCCAATTGCAGAATTATACGCAATTGTGTTTAATTTGATGCCTCTCATCTTAGCCGCTTTGAGTATGGAGTCAATTTTCACCTTATGACAGCATCGGCCACATGCAGCCAACAGGGTGCTAATTGAGACAACATTGGGTTGTACACCCTTTTGCTCCATTTCTCGCAGCAAATCTACAGCTTCAGCTAGAAAACCATTTGATCCATATGCATCAATCAGCGCATTGTAACTCACCAAATTTGGTTTGCAATTGTTTCTTCTCATCAAATCAAATATTTCGCGGGCTTTGACCGGTTGCTGTGATCTTCCGTAGGCATTAAGTAAAGATGTATAAGATACAACATCTGGACGCATTCCACTATGTTTCATTTGTTCAAAAATTGATGATGCCTGTTTACTCATCCCAAGTGAAGCATATGCTCCAAGTAAGGCATTGTAAGAGACAATGTTAGGTTTCAAACCCTCAGCAACCAATGTGTTAAAAACAGCTTGGCAGTTTTCAATCTGCCCACAAACAGAATACATATGCATGATGCTAGTATACGTCACAATATCAGGGTTACATGAACATCCCACTCTTTTCCCTCTCATGGAATTAAAAATTTCAACAGCTTCCTCATATCTCCCAAGCTTTACCAAACAATGGATGACAATATTTAAGGTGGTAGTGTCTGGACGGACATTTGTACCCTTCATTAGCTCAAAATAAGACAGTGCTTTTAAATACTGGGCACCAGTTTTGTATGCAGATAGCACGATGTTGTGAGTCACTAAATCAGGCCCAACGCCATTGTCCGTCATTTTTTTACAAACTTTAAGAGCCTCTCTCCAATTTCCACTTGATCCACATGCATTGATCAAGTTATTATAAGTTGACCTACTTGGTGGAATCTGCAAAAAGATACAAATGTCAGATACATCTCTTTAGTTTTTGAACAATCAATACTTGAATAATGGAAAAACCAATGTTTATGCAACCATCCAAAAAGAGAAATTCACACCACTAAACTTGATCCATCTCCCCAGGAACCGGACACGTAGTTTTTTCCTTAATCTGCCCTTCATTTCCTATCTCCATCGATTAATCATTAAGTTCCAATCAGTACATTTTCTCTACAATTCTCGTACATCTGGCTCTTTATGTGATGAATCAATAAGAATTCATTCATATCAAATAACAAAACAACCTAATCCTTGAGCAACCAAATCAACGGAAATAATTATGGGAAATCATTGTCCCTCTTTGAGGCTCCATGAAACCCAAATAACATGACATCTCGTGATGCAATTGGTACAGCTGATGAGCAACAATCGAAGACGATTTGATGAACTGCTAAACATCGATATACATATTTATTTTTACTAGGTTAGATACCCAAGGCATAGTGGGGTTGAGGAATAGACAGATCCTAATGGTTTTCAGATCCTGGAAAAAAGGTGTTCAAAAGTGTGATGTTGTCAAAAGTAAGGCTGGTTCAACTTTAAAGTCAGAAGTATTCAAAATTATAACAAATAGATACCAACGAATTTTTTAGAAAAAACAATTGAACATTGAAAGTACTTAAAAGAAGGAAGCTCACATCAGACCCACAAAGATTGATTAGGAAGGAAAAATGTAAATACACACAGCTGCTTGGAGCATGTCTTCCATGATGTTCATTGCCCAGCGCCATTGACCAGCTTGCCCATGTGCACTGATGAGGGCATTGTAGATTTCAACATCTGGCTTGCACCTGGCAAAAATAATGAACTAATAAAATGACATGAAGTGAAAGGAAAGCAAGGAGGAGCTGCCATAAGAGTGAGGAGGAGCTGCCATAAAAGTGAAGAGAAGCAATCTCTTGGAAAGAGTTTCTCTAACTCGATGAAAGTTTACAAAAAAGTATTGCCATCTTTGGTGCTTTGCTATGCTTAATGAAGATACCAATCTATGGTCTTCTTCGTTTGAACAGATGAAAGCAAAACCTATCTACAGATGTAACATAAGAAAAACCAGGTGAATCAGCCAGCTAAAAAACTATGAAGTCTAAAGGATCAATGTAACATTTAACATCTTACATTGTTTGATTAAGGGAACTGCTCCTTTAATTATCCAAGAGACAGTAAAACCAAAGGGGGAAAAATCTTGAAAGTGGCTATTATATGAAAAAATGCGATCATCAACACATTTAATGAAACAGCCATACCTCCACTTTTGCATCTCAAAAAACAAGCCACGTGCCTGATCAATACGATTATGCCTAGCATGCAATCTGATCATCATATTGTAAATATCATTTCGCGCACAATAATTTTTCTGATTCTTCATCCAATTGAAAACTTGAATGCTATGCTCAATAGAACCCATTTGAGTTATTTCCTGCACCAGCAAAACTTAAGTAGATTTATGCATGCCTTACAATAAATAACAGGATAACTACCTATTAACTACAGCTATCACATTGCCGTATAAACAATTATTAGGCAACCTAAATAAAAAGATGACATAATAGATGGACTGGCTAATACCCATACTGAAATTTAAGAAAATGGTGGCCCAATTTTCTTCTGTGGCAAAATTTCAACACCCTAATAACAGAAAGGCCGGGATCACTTCCAAAGAAATACAGATATTTCAGGAAGAAGGCAGGAAATAGTTAACTACGTGAGACTTTTAGAATGCAGTTGAAGAATTCATCTACCACGGCATACTTATATGGTAGACAAATGATAGACCTGTTTCCTCATTGCAAAAACAAACTCCAACTGAGTGTGATCCAACCTCCAATAACATCATCAATTCCAAGCCGTGCTAGAAAGATGGTACTTTCCCATCATTAACATCTTAATATCCCTAGCCTGCTAAAAATCCTAAACCTACAATTCACTTCTAAAATGGAAAATAATAGATTTCCATACGATCAGCCACCCGGCTAAATCAACCTACAGTGATGGAAAAAAGGTAAAAGAATCGATCTCTTAATTTCCCAATCTCACTTTCCTACCCTTCTTCTCCCCGAGAATCAAAATCCATAGCTCATTGTACAGAGGCATTTAACATATTCAAAATACTAACTTCAGATCAAATTAATGTAGAAACAATAGAAGTATAAAACTGAGATACTACAGTAATTGCAAAATTACCTTTATTAGAACCGGGAAGTTTTTCCTAGCGAACCGTCCGGCCCAGCGGTTGAGGACAGCCTCGACGTCATCCCAGTGGTTGAGCTCAAGTATTCTCTCTACCACTTCGGATATGGTCCAGTCCTTCTGGAACCGGTCGCCTTCGACGCGCAAACGGTGCCGTTTCGGCAAGTCGGACTTCCGGAGCCCGGAAATATGGGTTGACACCTCGCAGATGCCTTTGCCGTAGTCCACGTGGACCCGCTTCCTCTCATTGAAAGCGTCCGAATTGTTAGGTTTCTTGCAGCGAATTGTTAAGATTCTGGTGGACCGGGGCCTGATGAAGTATGAGTTTTGTTGGTGGTGGTTGTGGTTGTGGTTGTGGTNGTGTGAGCGAATCATTGTTCTTGTGGTTTGTCAATTTTGTGTTCCATTGAAGTAACTCTGTGGTTTGGGATCTGTGAGGGCTCATAGTTTGAGTTCGGTGTCTCAGTGATGTTTTTGGGGCTTTTGGTCTAAGCCTATGAAAGATTTACACTAGATGCTGTGGTTTAGATGTTATGTAAATTTCTTGTACATTTTGATTGTACGGTTTTTCATATTATTGAATAATAGTGGTATCAGAGCATTGTAAGGCCGTTTTTGTGTCTTTGATCAAAGGTTTGAACACTGGAAAATTAATTTTTAGGCGTTCGACTGTAAATCGCGAAACCCTAGGTCTAGATCTGTGCCGATCTAGTGGTTTGTTGAGCTAATCTAAACCTGGACTGTGGAAAACGAGGTAGTTTTGTGACTTCAAGCCTCGATCTGGAAAATAACCTAAATCTTGAAGTTGTAAGGGCTCGAAATTGAATGTGCTCGAAACTGTAAGGGCTCGACCTGTGATTTGGTAAACTGGAAAATGCTCGTAAACTGGAAAATGCTCTCCCTTGGCTACGATAATCGTTTCTTGATCTGTGCTGGTGGTTAATCGATTCACTACCCTTCGGTTTGCAATTCTTGATCCCTACACGATCACACACACGCTGAACACTGAATACACTCGTTGATGCCTCTCTCTTGATATATTTCAACTGCTGTGCATTGTAACTTGTTACATCAGTCAGTGATATCTCATTATATTTGTCTGTGATAGTTTAATTTGGGTGATTCAAATTGAGCCTTGACCTGAAAACTTGATTCTTAAGGAATTCTGGTGAATTTGATCATCCCTAGGCTCTGTAGATATTGTTATTGATATTGAGATATTGTTTCTGCCTGCATTGTTGTATTTTTCTGGTTCTTGTGGTGTTTACACTAGAATATCTACGGATCTTATTATTGTTTGAAACTACTTGTGATTGAAAATAATTGTGATTCATTCACTTGATTGCATATTTTTTCTGTGATCTAAAACATCATTTTTGGCGAAGGTCAAATTCAGCAGATTTTCAAAAGTTGATCATCTGTCTTTTTTTTATTTTATTTTTTTGGGAAAAACTGTGTGTTAGTTTTTTCAACAATAAAACATGACAAAATCATCTTTTGAACTTGGTGTTTTTTATGGAAAACAGGATTTTCCCATTTGACAACAAAAAATGCGAAGTGTTTTAGTTCAGCAAAAAGTTTTCAAAGTAATAACAGATGAATTTCTTGATACCTTGACAGATGATCAAAAGGAAGAATCTGATAAACTTGCTTATACCTCCATTATTCTGCATTTGTTTGATCAAGTTTTAAGAAAAGTAGGAAAACATGATACTGCTAAGGCCCTATGGGTGAATTAGAGAAACTTTACCTACCTAAATTTCTGCCTAATAAGTTGTTTTTGTTAGAGAAATTTTTCAGCTTTAGGATAGACCCTACTAGAGACTTAGAAGATAGTTTAGACATTTTTAATAAGTCAGTTCAAGACATTATTAATACAGGTGAGAAAGTTTCTGATGAGTATAAGGCTGTAGTGCTACTTAATGATATACATGATGCCTACAAAGAGGTTAAAGCCGCCATTAAATATGGTAGAGATACTCTTACACTTGATATTGTCATAGACTTTTTAAGGAGTAAGGAACTTGAACTTAAGTCTAAGAGAGGTAATAGTGGCCATGAAAACTTGTTTGCTAGAGGGAGGACTTTAAGTAGATCTAGTGGTGCTCAGGAAAGCCATAATAATCAGGGAAACAACAATAGGAGCAAGTTTAAGAGTAGAGGCAGGTCTAAGTTAAGGACTAGGATTAAAAAGTGTTACGGGTGTGGGAAATCTGGTCATTTTATCAAAGACTGTTATAAGAAGAAAAATGAACAGAAAGGTAAGGGTGTTGATGAAGGTAATGTGGTAGAATCTGAAGGTTCTGTCACAGATGATGTATATGCCGTGACTGAAATTTTACCTAACTCTGCAAATGTTGTTGATGGGAATAAGAACCAAGAATGGATCTTGGATTCTGGTTGTATCTTCCATATGATCTCTAAGAAGGCATATTTAGAAAATTTTAAGAAGATTGATGGAGGAGAAGTGGTTATAGGCAATAATATAGCCTGCAGAGTTGAGGGAGTTGGGAATGTCACTTTGAAATTTGATAATGAATACATTTACACCTTTGAAAAGGTGAGGTATGTCCCTGAATTAAATAGGAACCTGATTTCCATGGGAAATCTGGATAATATGGGGCTGCAAGGAAAAATAGGAGATGGTTTTTTGAAGGTGATAAAAGGATCACTTGTTATTTTTAAAGGTGTTAAAAGAAATGGGATTTATGTGATCAAAGCTAGTACAGTGTTTGATCACATAGGCAAGTCTTCTAGTGTTGAAGTTGATGCCACCTTAAAATGGCACAAGAGATTGGCCCATGTAGGTGAAAAGGGCCTACACATCCTTTATAAGAAATGTGTGTTTGGAAAAGACTTTATATGTAAGGTGTCCTTTTGTGAAAACTGCACTTTAGGTAAGCAGCATAAGCTGCATTTTATCACAGGAAAACATAGAACTACCTCTATCCTTGAGTATATACATGCTGATTTATGGGGGCCTTCATCCACTATCACTCAAGGAGGAAATAGATATTTCTTGTCTTTGATTGATGATTATTCTAGGAAGGTTTGGGTTTAATTGTTGAAACATAAAGCTGAAACCTTTGACAAATTTAGAACTTGGAAGATTCTGGTGGAAGATGAAATTGGGAAGAAAACTAAGATCCTTAGGACAGATAATGATCTTGAGTTTTGTAATGCTGAATTTGATCAGTTGTGCAAAGATGCTGGGATTAAAAGGTATAAAATAGTACTTTATACACCTCAGCAGAATGGAGTGGCCGAGAGGATGAATAGAACATTGTTAGATAAGGTTAGGTGCATGTTGATAGGCTCGGGAGTTCCTAAGGTTTTATGGGGTGAAACTGCAATGACAGCTTCATATATTGTTAATAGGACCCCTTCAAATGCTTTAGGTGATAAAACCCCTGAAGAGTTATGGACAAGACATGTTCTGATTATTCCCATTTAAGAATCTTTGGTAGTACTACCTATTCCCATCAGAGTATAGGAATAGGAAAACTTGAACCTAGGGCCCAGAAATGTTTTTTCTTAGGATATCCTGATGGGGTTAAAGGTTATAGGCTATGGAGTAAAGAGGTAAAAGGCTTTAGAATCATCACCACCAGAGATGTTACATTTGATGAGTAAAAAAATGCCTTGTTTAGAAAATAAGGAGCCAAAAGGGCTATCTGGTGATGAAAAGTGTGATAATACCAAGCTGCAGGTGGAGCTTGGCTTACCTACTAAACCTGTTGGTAATGAACAGGTGGAGGAAGAAGCTGAAACAGCTTCTGGTTCTCAAGAAAGTGAAGAGGAAAATGTTCAAGAAAATCTGGAAAGTCAGCCTAATCAATTGGAGGATTACCAATTAGCTAGAGATAGGACTAAGAGAGAAGTAAGAGAGCCAGTTAGGTATGGAGATTACCTTTCACTTGCTGTTTTGTCCTATCAAGACTTAGTGTTTAAAGAACCAAAATTTTATGAAGAGGCTATGAGCTGTAAGCAATTTGAGAATTGGCATACTGCTATGATAGATGAAATGGACTCCTTAATAAAAAGTGAGACTTGGACTTTAGTTCCTAAACCTGCAGGTAAGACCCTTGTTGATTGCAAGTGGATCTTTAGTGTTAATGAGGGAAATACTGAAAAGATGCCCATAAGATTTAAGGCTAGACTTGTAGTAAAAGGATTTACGCAAAAAGAGGGCATATATTATAATGAAATATTTTCTCATGTGATAAAGTACACTACAACTAGAGTTATGCTTGCTCTTGTTGCTCATTATGATCTTGAACTTGAACAAATTGACGTGAAAACTGCCTTCTTGCATGATGACCTTGATGACGTAATTTATATGAGACAACCACCTGATTTTATTGATGAATCTAAATCTAATCATGTGTGCTTGTTAAAGAGATCATTATATGGTTTGAAGCAATCTCCACGACAATGATACAAAAGGTTTGATAATTTTGTATCTACTATTGGTTTCGTAAGAAGTGAATTTGATCATTGTCTTTATTTTAAAAGAAATGATGAAAATGCTATTATTGCGTTTATACTTCTTTATGTGGATGATATGTTGCTGATTGGTTAGAAAATGCATGTTATTAATCAGGTAAAATGGTCTTTAAGTGTTGAATTTGAAATGAAAGACCTAGGACATGCAAAGAGAATTTTAGAAATGGAAATCACTAAGAAAAGGCACCAAATGTTACTGTACTTGAAGCAAACTGCATATATTGAAAAAATGTTGACTAAGTTTGGCATGCATAACTCTAAATCTGTTTCACTTTCATTGGCCAGCCATTTTAAACTTAGGAAAGAGCAATGTTCCTGTAGATGAATTTGACATTAGACAAATGGAAAATGTACCCTATGCTAATGCAGTAGAATCTGTCATGTATACTATGGTTTGTACTAGGCCTGATGTAGCTCATTCCATTAGCACACTTAGTATATTTATAGTCAATCCAGGACCAGAACATTAGGTTGCTCTAAAATGGCTGTTGACATATTTGAAAGGATCTTCACATATTGGTTTGATTTTTAGTGCCTGTAATGAAGGTGTTGTACTCAAGGATTTTGTAGATTCAGATTTTGCCGGAGATAGAGACAATAGAAAATCTACTACTGCTTATATGTTTACTTTGTGTAATATATGTATTAGTTGGAAATCTCAACTTCAACCTATTGTTGCTTTATCTACTACTGAAATTGAGTATGTTGCTGCAACTGAAACAATAAAAGAAGCTTTATGGCTTAAGAGCTTGTTATCTAAAATAAATGAATTAAGTAACCCTGTTATTTTATATTCAGACAGTCAAAGTGCAATTCACATATGTAAAAACCCTGTTTTTCATGAAAGAACCAAATATATTGATGTTAAGTTGCATTTTATTAGAAATGTTATTTCTAAAGAACTTATTTTACTTGAGAAAATTGCAACTCTGTTTAATCCAGCTGATGTAGGGACTAAGGTAATATCTTTAAACAATTTTAAGTCTTGTTTACAAATTTTGAACATTGATGCTGGTTAAATTTTTGGTTCTGTACAAGTGCTGAATCTGATGCTTGTTGAAAGTATTGGGAAGCTGCATTCTTGGGAATGAGATATAAATTGTGTTTTACATTTATTAGGCTTCTTGTATGACTATTGGCATCAATGTGGAGATCTGTTGGGATGTGATGCTAATGATCAGTCCAACTTAGGCGATGATGATAAAATCCAGGCCCAATAAGAAAAGAGCAGATTAACAACTCTCTTGATACTTAGATGGCCCACTTAATCGAGCCCAATAATTAGCCCATTCCCTTAGTTGCTCTGGGACCGTTGGATCGACCCATAGATCAATGGCTAATGGTCTTTACTTATTAGATAGACCATTTGCTTTGCCCTAGAATGAGAATCGTCATATTTTTCTTCTCTTTGTGAGTCGTCTTCTTTCTGGAACCTTCAAGGGCTTCTGTCTTCTTGTTTTTCAGCTTCTTTGTATGAGATTATTTGGGAATTAACTTTGTGATAATCAAGTCCTTGTGTGATTCTTCTCCATGTGAGTGAATCGTTGTTCTTGTGGTTTGTACATTTTATGTTCCATTGAAGTAACCCTGTGATTTGGGATCTGTGAGGGCTCGTAGTTTGAGTTCGATGTCTCGGTGATGTTTTTGGGGCTTTTGGTCTGAGCCTATGAAAGATTTACACCAGATGCTGTGGTTTAGGTTTTATGTAAAGATCATGTACATTTTGATTGTACAGTTGCTTTATCTACTACTGAAATTGAGTATGTTGCTGCAACTGAAACAATAAAAGAAGCTTTATGGCTTAAGAGCTTGTTATCTGAAATAAATGAATTAAGAAACCCTGTTATTTTATATTCAGACAGTCAAAGTGCAATTCACATATGTAAAAACCCTGTTTTTCATGAAAGAACCAAATATATTGATGTTAAGTTGCATTTTATTAGAAATGTTGTTTCTAAAGAACTTATTTTACTTGAGAAAATTGCAACTCTGTTTAATCCAGCTGATGTAGGGACTAAGGTAATATCTTTAAACAATTTTAAGTCTTGTTTACAAATCTTGAACATTGATGCTGGTTAAATTTTTGGTTCTGTACAAGTGCTGAATCTGATGCTTGTTGGAAGTATTGGGAAGCTGCATTCTTGGGAATGAGATATAAATTGTGTTTTACATTTATTAGGCTTCTTGTATGACTATTGGCATCAATGTGGAGATCTGTTGGGATGTGATGCTAATGATCAGTCCAACATAGGCGATGATGATAAAATCCAGGCCCAATAAGAAAAGAGCAGATTAACAACTCTCTTGATACTTAGATGGCCCACTTAATCGAGCCCAATAATTAGCCCATTCCCTTAGTTGCTCTGGGACCGTTGGATCGACCCATAGATCAATGGCTAATGGTCTTTACTTATTAGATAGACCATTTGCTTTGCCCTAGAATGAGAATCGTCATATTTTTCTTCTCTTTGTGAGTCGTCTTCTTTCTGGAACCTTCAAGGGCTTCTGTCTTCTTGTTTTTCAGCTTCTTTGTATGAGATTATTTGGGAATTAACTTTGTGATAATCAAGTCCTTGTGTGATTCTTCTCCATGTGAGTGAATCGTTGTTCTTGTGGTTTGTACATTTTATGTTCCATTGAAGTAACCCTGTGGTTTGGGATCTGTGAGGGCTCGTAGTTTGAGTTCGATGTCTCGGTGATGTTTTTGGGGCTTTTGGTCTGAGCCTATGAAAGATTTACACCAGATGCTGTGGTTTAGGTTTTATGTAAAGATCTTGTACATTTTGATTGTACGGTTTTTCAGATTATTGAATAATTATATATTTACATTATTTTCTTACAATTATACCATATATTTTATTATCCAAAAGTTAAAAAATTATTTGTGCTTTAATCTAGAATTTATTTTTTCTTTTTCATTCATTTAACTCCCCATAAAATAAAATTGAGTCAAGTCTTTACGATATATCAATTAGATAATTTTCTCTCCTTTTTTTTTACAAAAATTGTTTTTTATTAACTATATTTATATATCTTTCTATTTTCTAAAACCCCTTGCAAAGAAGAAAAAATATCTTCTTGCTCATCAAACGAAAAACAATTTAAAAAAAAAAAAAGAATTTTTGCCACAAAAAACAGTTATTATAAAAAAATGATCAGTCCAACATAGGCGATGATGATAAAATCCAGGCCCAATAAGAAAAGAGCAGATTAACAACTCTCTTGATACTTAGATGGCCCACTTAATCGAGCCCAATAATTAGCCCATTCCCTTAGTTGCTCTGGGACCGTTGGATCGACCCATAGATCAATGGCTAATGGTCTTTACTTATTAGATAGACCATTTGCTTTGCCCTAGAATGAGAATCGTCATATTTTTCTTCTCTTTGTGAGTCGTCTTCTTTCTGGAACCTTCAAGGGCTTCTGTCTTCTTGTTTTTCAGCTTCTTTGTATGAGATTATTTGGGAATTAACTTTGTGATAATCAAGTCCTTGTGTGATTCTTCTCCATGTGAGTGAATCGTTGTTCTTGTGGTTTGTACATTTTATGTTCCATTGAAGTAACCCTGTGGTTTGGGATCTGTGAGGGCTCGTAGTTTGAGTTCGATGTCTCGGTGATGTTTTTGGGGCTTTTGGTCTGAGCCTATGAAAGATTTACACCAGATGCTGTGGTTTAGGTTTTATGTAAAGATCTTGTACATTTTGATTGTACGGTTTTTCAGATTATTGAATAATTATATATTTACATTATTTTCTTACAATTATACCATATATTTTATTATCCAAAAGTTAAAAAATTATTTGTGCTTTAATCTAGAATTTATTTTTTCTTTTTCATTCATTTAACTCCCCATAAAATAAAATTGAGTCAAGTCTTTACGATATATCAATTAGATAATTTTCTCTCCTTTTTTTTTACAAAAATTGTTTTTTATTAACTATATTTATATATCTTTCTATTTTCTAAAACCCCTTGCAAAGAAGAAAAAATATCTTCTTGCTCATCAAACGAAAAACAATTTAAAAAAAAAAAAAGAATTTTTGCCACAAAAAACAGTTATTATAAAAAACATATATTTTAGATGATTGTTTTTAATATTTATCTATTAAACAAAAATTGTTAATTAGAAGATAGCAATTAAAATTTTTCTATTTAATTTTACATTGAAAGAGTCAAATATGTAATTTCTATAATTTTAAATATGTTAATAACTTACTAAAATTATTTTTTATTAATTTAATTTCACAGTGTAGGAAAATAAGATAATCAATTTTATAAATCTCGCAATAAAATATGTTTTAAAGAGAAAAAAATATTTAAAACATTGTATGCCATGCAAAAATGTTAGATAAGATGGTATACAAGGTGCTCAAAATGTTACATAATGGTATGCAAAATGTTCCAAAATATAAATTGTCGGTAACCTAATGGTAAAGTTTCTGCTTTTTTTATCTAGGAGACAAGGTTTCGAAAACATAAACTTATTTTTCATATTTTTATATTTGAAAAATTTTGTGCAATTAGTCTCTAACCTTTAAAATCAAACTTTTCAATCCTCATGATGCTTCATTTGCATATTTCGTCCTTTTTACATAATTCCATTAACATTAGCATTGAACTTTCCTCTCATGATATGCGTTGGCATATTTTTGGTTGACAATGTATACTTAACACAATCTAATCTTTCAAATATAGAAGTTTTAGTCATTTCAATTCCAATAGCTTTATTGTTTGCTTCAAATACCGTTATCTCTACCATCTCTACATCATTGATTGCTAACTATTACAATACTGTCAACCATTGTTACCAACCCCCCAAAAATCGAAAATTATAGCTCTATCCCCATTAAGATCCAAGCTGCGCTAGTCATTTTGATTACATATTGCTAGACTCTTTTAGACCATACACATGATTTACTTATACTAAGCATTACAATCTCAGTTTAAATAACGCAATTCAAGATTTGTGATGAAGTTCATGTTGTGGTTATTTTTTTTCGCTCCATTCTTTTTACACAAACTTTTAATAGCATATTTTTAGTATTGAAGAAAGTTGCATATTTAATAATGCCTGAACTCTTTTTTCTATATCGAGGATCGTCAAAATAAGTAAGAATACTATTTAAGTATATAAAAAACTTTTCAAATATTTCTTTTAACAAATCTTACATATTCGATTAAGCTAAACCTTTTGCGACTATACTAAACTATATTAATTTTCGTTTTAGGTCACTGTGACATTTTTAATGGGGCGAGTTAAAAATAAAAGAGTTAGAAGTCACAAAATGAGAATCAACTTTATATGTGAAGAAAAATTACAAAAATATATTCATAATGGCAAAACCAACATTCTCACTCAACTGGAATTCACAACAATTTCATATTGACAAATAAAAATTTGAAGCATTTTATGTCATACAATCCTCATCTACATTTAAACTCTTATAATTAACAAGTTAAATAATTAAAAACACAAATAAAAGGCGGAAATTTAATAATTGACATACCAATCAAATTAAAGAATATTAACCTGTCTGTTCTCGTTGAACTACAATGTGTGACTGTGAGCACAATACGTCCAGGGGTTGAAGACGATGGAAAAGGTTGCTCTTTGGGCAAACCAATCCCAGAAAACCAAAATACAGGAAAGAGATCGAGGCATGATAAGTACGTGGAACTAGCAATAAAGAAACGGACAAGGATTTACAAGGAACGGTAGAGATAAAATGGGAAACTACTTGTTCGCGAAACCATTTCTAGAAGAGGTCGACTTTCTTTTTGTGAGTATCTTGCTTCCACTTTGGCAACTTATAGAACTCATCTTTCGTCATTCCCATTACAGTCAGGAATTCTTCATCCAAGAGATAAGCCTGAAAATAGAAAATATCAAGTAAACACGAGAATTATTATCACAAGAAATTGCACCATTGATCCTAACCTATTGTCCGAGTAGTTAGTTAATCTCCGACCTTTAAAAAGAAGCAAGTTAGACGGAGTTGCATAATTTGTCTCCAAATAAACTATCCAAATATTTGTTAATCAAAGTTCCAGAACTACTATTGAAGTGGGTAAGATGAAGACTCTTCACAAGCTCCCTTTGAAACAGGCAACTAAGCAGAGGGTTCGGGCATGCCACGTGACTGACATGGATAGATGACTACCCTTCAAATTTGTTGACACTAACTCGAGTTGGGAAATAAATTCTAATCATAGAGTTGGATATGTGAGAGAACCACGACAATTTAACAAAGTTCTGGACAGTTTATATGCTAGACTGATGGTGCAATTATAATGCAAAGTTGATAACCAATTTGTTCATTTTTAAAGGTCAATTGTCAACTTGCTACTTTGGCAATAGGTTGGACATCAATGCTGCATTTCTTTGTAATTTTCATGACACGATTGTAGACACAAAATTCGTATAGGAAAAAAGGGTCGAACCTCTCTACTTTTAAAATCAATGCCGGTCACAGGGTTGTCAGATTTAGCCTTCAACTCATCATAAGTAAATGTACTTTGAGTGGTTTCACTGCCATTTTCATCCGGGTCGGACTTGGGTTTTGAACCTGAATTGTCCCCATCAGTCTCTGGGATAGGCTCGACTGTTTCAGTTTCCTTAACTTCCAAAGCTTCCTTGGAATCTTCAACCTCAGGAGCATCTTCACTCTTTATTGCGGCTGCAAGAATTATTCATACAAAATACTTCTCAAAATTCTTGGATCCAAAGTGAATCACATGACATTCGTTAAACAACAATCTTAAGTGAGCATTGCATTGTCCAAAATTTAAGGTTAAAACAAAAGAGGTCATTGAACTTTGACAGGTCTCTGAACTTTATTTTTCCCAGTTGGTCAATTAACTTAGAATTTATTTTGAGCTTATCCTAGAACTTAAATATTTGTTACAAATTGGTCATCATGTCCAAGTCTCCAAGTTCATTAGTTTAATTAACAGAAAAACTGACATGCCGCTCTACTCAGCAGCCTTGTTGGTAAATAACTAAACTACCACATCATCTTTTCCGTTAATCAAACTAAAGGACGTTCACAAGTGACCAAATTGTAACAAAGTTTAAGTTCAGCAACCAAATTAAAACAAAATGAAGTTCAGTGAACACCATGAAATTTCGTCTATAAAGTTCAGTGACCAACATGAAATTTCATTAAAAGTTTAATGACGACCTTTTTAACTCCCTACATTTATGACATCAGATATCTTATCACTAGAAAATTCCAGAATTTATTAATTTCAACAAAAACAGAGACACGATGTAACTTAGAACATGAGATGATGATGCAAGAGAGAGAGGGAGAGAGAAAAAAGAAAAAAGGAACAAAGTTATGCCATGAGAATTAGTGGAAATGTATACGCAGGGAACTTTTAATACCAGGTGACCGGGCAGGAGAGGAATCGGGCGACCGCTTCTTTTCAGCAGTCAAAACATTTGATAAAGCAGCCACTGCAGCTGCTCTCTGCGACCCCTGACTTATTACTCCGGCCCTTGTGGCAAAAGTGGATTTGGGAGCTGAAGTTGAACTAAATGCTGAGTTTAAGGCAGCTAAAGCCGAAGCCCTTTGAGTCGGTCCTCCCTGATTTGAATCATGGGACTTCTCCTAGTTCACGAACAAATGTCAGTACATTTCATGCAAAATCCTTTACCACTCCAGTGTGCACGATACATCAAGTGCGTGTATGGTTGGTATGATTAGGTAATACTCGTTAGTATCAAAAAAGAAAAATATACAGAAATCTTGTTTATTATGTTGCTAGTACTATGTATTAAACATGCACCAAGTGGATCTTTTGTATACGGCAGTAGACCTACCAAATGGTATAACAGACAAGTGAACAACATTTTTCTTTCTTAATTATGCTTAGTGTTTACTAATCCACCTTAATAAGCATGCCACAAAAGCGCAACAAAGCTTCACATCAATGAAGATTCACACAAGCTTCTTAATAATACGTGACTTGTGATGTTCTCAAATAATTTGTATCAGACAAACATGAAGGAAATCAAAGATAATGTGCAACATAGGAGCATATGTACAATTCCTTGAAGTACGCCCACCCAGGATCAACAGCAACAATAAAGTCTAGACATGTTTGGCCTAGCTTAAAAAGTCTACTTATAAGTAAATATACTTACAAATATAAAAAATTTTAAGTAATTTTTATTTGGTCAAAGTTGAAATTAAGTTACTCGTTGACCATAGCCTAACAATTACTGTAAAAAAAGTAAACTTTTTTTTTTTCCTTGCACTAAAAAGTAAGAAAAAATTAGAAATTTCCGAAACATATTCCCTTCCATATCTACTTGCCATGTTAATATTGTCTACCTCTCCCTCAGTAACATATTTTACTCGGATCACATTGTTGTTGTGAATGAGAGATGTATGTACCCACTTGACCACTTCCATGCAAAGAGAATGCACATTTTTCATGCATATGCGGAACAAGGCAATGACATTCACCATTGATTTACTTGCACAGCTTTCTAAAGATTCAAACAGCATCCGCAAAACACAAGCAGGAATAATCTTGCAGACATTTAAAGTCTACCTCTGTGGAATGACCGGCCCCAAAGAGAAGCATGACCTTCTTTTGGAATGAGTTTCCATGTGCCTGTTTTACGAAAAGAAAAATATTTCTCAATATTGGAATATAACATATGCCTAAATTTGAAAAATAATAAATATATATTCATAAGCCTTTCATCTAAAAACTTCAGGCAACTTGAGGAGATCATATGTTTTGAAATTGATGTTAAAAAAATATACAGAATTAACAAAGAAATATCATGCAAAATCCAAGAGCAGACGTGACATACAATAGCTTTTGCTAGATCCCATGAAAAAAAAGTGGTGAAGAAACATGGTTCATTTCCTTCTGTGACTTTGTACAATGGCACTTTCGGAGACAAACCCTCCAATGAAGTAGCCATATCAACATATTTCTGCAATCATATCGTTCAATCAATAAAACACAATATGCAAGAACTTCAAGAAAATAGAAGCCAGAAAGCAACTTCGCCACATACCTGTCCAATTTCAAACGCATTTTGCTTATCTTTGAGATCGACTGATTGACCAACCCACACACACACTTCAGCATGTGTGTCAAGGATCAAAATATCCTCAGTCAAAAGATCATCTTGAGAAAAGTTGTAAATTTCTTCAACCTGGCATGGCAAATATATATTATTTAGGATGTAAATGTCCTAATGCATGAAGTGCATGTTTGCTACACAGTAGTGGATATGACTAGACAGTATAATCAACAAGATTGTAACTTCCTTTGCTTTTTTAATACTGTCGAGTACCATCCAATCCTTCTTATCAAACAAGTCAGTATAGTTAGCAACAACTTTTTGACTAATTTTCAATTCCGTAACATACCTCAAACTTCCCTGTGAGTTCGAATGGCAGCACGAGCATTTACAAGAGCAATAATTAGAACACGCCAAAAAATTATTAGATTCAATGTTTCAACGTACTCGAACATAAAGGAAGTAAGAAAGTAAAATAAAAAAGAATTGCAACCTTTATTGAAAGAGAAAGCGAATAAGTAAGGATCTCTGACAACCTCTGGAGATATTTTCTTGCTGGTGTAATTTTGTTTCCCTCCGAGAGGATGCCAAAATGTTGAGCTCTCAGTTCCTTCTTTAGTGTGTTTGACGGCTAATCCAGGCTGAGTTCATAGAGACGTAGATAATAATTAGTCAGAAACTGTGTACTGCATTTCCATTTCCACATAATAATTTGAACATATCACTGTTAAAATGTCAAATCATAACATAATAAACCAAGATATCCAAATAATAGTCTGTAAAAGACACCTATATACAAAGCGCTGCATGGTAACCTGTGTGTTTTTTTCGGTGTTAAAGAGCAGCACCCAATGAAAGCCCAAAATAATCTAATAAGCAGAAAGTGCTAAAAGGGGATTTACAGAATTTTGAGCATTTTCTCTTTTTGCCCAATCAATTGTATCTAGATTTTCAATGTTGAAAGGGGATCAATGATGAACTTCATACAAATATCTTACTCAGAAATTGTTGCAGTTCCCATTTTGCGCAATTTTCAATTTTATTTTATTATTTTATTATTTTATTTTATTTTTCCTTTTGCAAGAGTTGATTTGCTCAACTTAATGCTGATACTAACTGAGGAAGAGATTATAATTTGATGACACCCGGTGGGCAAATTCCCCCCCCCCCTCTCCAAACTTGCAATTCTCATTTTCAGAAACCACAGGTTCAAAATGAAATTTTGCTGTCAATTTATTTTTGTTTCTGCCTTTAGAATAATAAATGAATAAGAAACTTACAATTGAATTTATTCTTTTAATAGGTATTTTTGCGGGAATTGTTGGAATATTTATGTAAATCCATGAGCAGGAATAGAGAAAGGGGTCAGATTTACGTTATGAATCAAGCATAATCCCATACACGAGAGCAATAATGAAAAAAGAAAAACACAGAAACCCACACACGGAAAAAATGAAATTACAGACAGCTACATTTACTCAGTTGCAGATTTTTCACTAATCAAAAATTGAGAAGAAGTTTCAATTGGGATCTCCATCTTCTGTCTCTCACTCCACACAAAACAAAATGCCCCTCAGACTCCTTTATATAGTGTGGGAATCTGGGGTGACCCAATACAAAGAGATGAATGAACAATTACTTTACAACAGAAAAAATTCAGAGAACAGTATAATTAGGGTCCATACAGTCCAATTTATCCAAAAGAAGCAAGAGGTTGAGATTCAAGCTTTAATATGGTATTTTGGAAAGTAATTATGAAGATGCAAAGTGTTACAAACATCAAACCAAACCAATAACCACTGACTGGAGATGCTTTTGTGGCTTATATATTACCATTTCATATTATTCTCGGGGGAAATCACAAACATATTATTACAGTGTAATATTAATGTAGGAGAATATCTACTAACAAGAAAAGAACAGAGATACAACCTGTTCTACAACATGCATACCTTCAAAAATTCAGCAACTTTTGCCACTAACTGCTGCTGCTCAAAGGTGCTTTGATTTCCATGCCAACAAAACAATGAAGATCCAGATTGCAGCAGAAAGCACTCATTTGAGTTCAATGATGTAGCTGCCTGAAGTGATAACATTATTTGGTTTAACCAGCAAATAACTTCGTACAGTTGAATATTGGGAAATAAGTCTAAAGTTGAAGTTCATTGAGTACGTAAAGCGAAGTCTAGTATATAAAGCAGTATTGCATAAAAACAGGGTAAAGCATTATATACAATATATAAAAGATCATGTGTAATGCAGTTAAAAATAGAAGCCTTAGGAGGTGAGAGGACACGAGTCGAAGCAACTAAAAGGGAAAATAAGTAAATGAATTTACGGCGTCAACTTGTATAGCTTTGTTGTTATGCACAGAAGTTCCAGATATCCGGATGAGTGCAACACCATTGGCCATGTAAATTTCATCGTTCAGACCTTTGTCGGCAATATAGTTCTTGTACCTAGAGCTCATCCCACCCTAATAGAACAATTCAAGATGGTTAAATAAGTGGTACACACATTTTCTTTATTCATAATTAGCATCCTTCTTATTTTCCTATTCCAAGTACTAAATGGCACCACCTTAAGGATCACCATAGGCTGAAAGATTGCAACAAACTGGGGTGGCTCTTTTCCTTGAAATATCCGACCCTGCGTAAGGCATAACTGACATCTGAACTCTGTACATTGCACAGTTCAATGTTGTATACAATTGACTCGTTCATTAAGGTGGATTGTACAGTAATGGACAGTATTGGAAAAGAAAAGGAACTAAAATCTTGTCCATAATACTGTTTAATCCTGTCCAATACCAAACATACTCAACAAGATAAAATAATACCTGAACTGGTCTCCCTTTCAGAGAGTTACACATTGTAGTAGCCAATCTAGCAGCTGTCTGTTGGTCTTCCTGGAAATGGATAATTTAGTATCATTAATACTCATAAATGAGTAAATGGAAAGTAGCAACGTGATTTAAACATCTTAAAATACAAGTGGTTTCATATAAATACAACAGTGAAACATTTTTCTGAATCGGTAGTATCACATGAAAACACATCAAGGACAGGAAGAAATAATAATGGCATCCATATGTTCAAAATGGCCTTCGACATTAATTGTAGCAAAACTTTTGCAGACACTGATGCAATGTTTAACTTTTCAGTAAGAGAAGACTCCATATAATGTGGACCTAACATGAACTAATTTTGAGAGCAAATGCATTTTTTATACTACCTACTAGATCTAGATTGTTTTCACAATCCAATTCGTAGCCAGCAACTACATATATTACCTCAACACTGTCTTTTCCAATCCAAAAACACAAGTAGTAATCTTCTTTCCGTTCATTAGAATGGTACGTGTAGAGGACAATGTAGCAATCCCCACTATAAAATTTACCAATCTCTTCGCTGGATACTGGAGTTTTCGCACTGCCATCAATGCGCCAAACCTGGCAAGATGAAATATTTAAAATTCAAAACAATTCCTAGTTTAGCAACATATAATCCCAGAACCCCAAAAAAATAAAAATAAAAAAAATAAAAAGATTCGGAACCAGACCTCTATTTTTCCACCTCCTTCAAGCAACGGTGGGACTTCTTCATTCATAGGAGCACCTTTACTACCTCCCTTCATGATGCCACCTTGCTGCTTCAAAAAAGCTACCAAAACCAAAAAGAGTTTTTAAACTTAGTAGATACTATTAAAGACAAAATTTAAATAAATAAAGGAGTCTCCTATTTAACAGCTTAAACTTTGAGATGAGATGATTCCCATGGTAGAAAACGGAGACCAAAGACCTAGGTTCAAGTGTAGCTGCCACCCATTTATGAACAGTGTGCATACGTCGGGCNTGAACTGATATATCTTGTCTTTAGTGTCAAGAATAAAAACATCATCATGATTTAGAGAGGAGCGAGAAAAAGGGACCTGCATATTGCGGAGAACCAATCAATACCCTTTCTATATGATTTCCAAAACGAGATATGAATTGTAAGCATTTATAAACGCCTCTACCTGTTTCATTCTCACAGCTCGTTTTCCTCTACAAATATATAATCGTGTTTCAAATTCTTCCTCTTCAGGTTTCTTAAATCCAGTAGCAACACCACCTTCTAATGGTATAATGCATGGTTTGAAGTATGACAAGAATTTGTCAGATTCATGGCCTTGTAATTCTCTGTACTGCACAGCGCGACCGCCAAGAACAGCATCAAGTTCAACAGTTTTGATAGCTGCAGTCCCAGCTTCATCCTAAGGAAAATGCAGAACCCCTAGTAATTGCATGGATGTGAAGGAAGTACTCCTAGAGTAGGAAGATAATAAGACCACACCTGGCTAGTATTCTTTCCAAGCCAGAAGTGTATGTCATAAAGATAAGCACCACCTCCCTTTCCAGGACTTGTCTGCATAGAAAAATATTTGAATATGATAAGTCAAAAAAATGTGATTTTTCTTCGAAATTTATGTCGAGCTCAAGCCATTAGCTCATGAGGTAAAGGAAAAAATCACACTAACCTGCAAAACAATGTATGAATCTCCAGAGTAGAATTTACCATAATCGGATTTGGGCAAAGGAACTGGTTGGAAGTTCTCAACTCTCCATATCTCAGTCCCTCTATAATGAGTTAAGTTCAGTAAGAACGCATAAACTTCAAGTCAAACAAACACAAATCTAAAATCAAACACATGCAGTGTCTGTGTGACTCTTCAACAAATAATTCTGAGCAATTTTAGGAAGTAATAGTGACGCTAAGTCAATTATTTAGTTAAATGAGAATTGTTTCTATAAGAAAGGATACACTCTCTGACCAGCTCCCTGAAATGCAGGTTCCAGAGCTTTAGCTGCGCTAGACATTGCGTGATATCCTTCCCACGGCTGACAGTTTTTGCACAGAAAGAGAACAAGATTCTTCAACCTCCTAATAGCTGTGTTTAAATTCCCCAAGAATCAATAGTTCAAGAAAACAACAAAGTAGAAGTTAGTGAAATAACTAACTGAAAATAAAGATGAAAAGCAATCCCTACAGCATGTCCACAAGTATTCCAAGAATACCAAATTCCTCCTTCCCAAGAGGAAAGGAATAGAAACAAAGGGCAATACACTTTGAACACCATTCCGTCAAATCTACATCACTATTTTAAGGAGAAAACGTTTCAAGAAGTTGGTCTACTAATATTTCAGTGCAGGAATACAACACCTGAAGTACATCTTGGGAGCTCCACCTCTCTATTTATGCAACTTTTTTAAGCTTGCAATAAATTCATCGCTCTCACGTAATCATCCTCTAGACTAAGGAAAACTAAGGAGAATGAAAACATTAGAAAATTCCTAAAAGTTGCAAAACTTCTGTTCTGACAACATTAGAAATAAGTTGTGATTTAGCTATTAGTGCAGCACTTTGAATTTGCTGCAGAACACCTCTATGTATAAATGATATACTTGTTCCTTTAGTACTGTTTATCCAGTTGTTGAGCTAATATGACATTTTTTCAAACTTATCTCACTGTGTAATTCAATCAATTCTTACAATTACAACTGAAACTTGGAAAAAAAAATTCAGAAAGTACTATGCTTTTCCTGAATAGTATTAGCAATTGATCAATATAACCAGCAAAGTGGATGCAAACCATACCTCAACTTACATGAAGAAATATACAAGTTTTCCAAGCCTAGATAGATAAGTATTAATCTAAGTCCATGTTTGGCTAATGTTTATAAACTGTTTATAATTGGTCAAACCATTTTTTAACTACACATTTCATGGGATTCACATGCACTGCCCACTTATGTGGGTATCTCTTTATAATTTAAATCAATTATAAATAACACCCAAAGATGTTTTAATCATAAGTTTTTTAGAAGATGAAGGCAGCATAGAAAGGTTCGGTCCGAGATCTATGAAAAGCTCTGTAGTGTAATTCTTTTCCCTTATTACAAACTCTAGAAATCCCGAAGTGAATTCAAGGTGATATTTCTTCTATGGCTACAAATATTGTAACTTGTGAAAATCTTCTAATAATTTGCCATGGTAAAAAGATACTGCTTCAGATGTTATGAAAACAACTCAGCCCTTTATGGTTTAAAACAAATGACATACAAATTCAGCGATAGCAATGAGAAAAAACTCAATGCAATCCATAAAGACAAAATAAGATAGCTAGTTAAGCTAATCCACGTTCGGGATATGAAGGAGACAGTACACAATTACAAACACGGACAATCAACAAAACGGAATAAAACTCCAAAGATTTTTGTCGCCTCAACAATCCATTGAAGAAATTCTCAGTATAATATCTTCTAGATATTGAAACCTCAAGATAGCCATAAGGGTCCTCCCTTCAGCATCTATTTCAAAATTAACGGATCATAAGATAATATTTCAATTTCAGACAATTATCCAAATATATAAATTTTAACTTTAACTAAAACGACAAATGAAATAAGATATTATCAATAACCAGTACTTTATAATTCAGCAAAACTAATACATTGAGAATATTACATCTTTCTACAGACCATTTCTCTAATTAGGTTATAAGCAGAAAATAACAACAGTTGAAGAAAATCCATCTCTTGAATAAACCAATAAAACCATTACAGGTCAGATCAACGACATCACAAAGTTCAAAACAAACAAACCCATATAAAAGTTCAAGAAACGGGATTTGAAGAACCATTTTTCAAATAAACAAACCTTGAACCAGTCCCTACAATTCTCTTTCTTCGAAAAATATGATGAAAGGTGATCAAGAAACGGGTGTTTTAGAGAGGAAAAGAAGGTGAAAGGTTTAAATGCAAAGCTGGAGAACGACAAAAGTAGTGGGAAAAAAGGCGATTGAATAATTGATGTAAATATATATGATGGAATTAAATTTGTACAAATATTTTTCAGACAAGAGTCTACATGTATGTATACACGAATAATGGGCAAGAGATATCTGTGGATATGCGAGTGTATAGAGAGAGAGTGGAAGAGAGAGAAAAACGAAAAGATGATGAGTGTTTTGATGTGATGAGCATCTGAACTATTATTTCACTAGCAAGTTAGTCCTCGGCTTTAAAAAAATTAATTTAGAGCATATCCAAATCTTACTTTTAAAGAGCGACTATAAATTTATAGAGTAAAATTTTTTAAATATTCCAACATTCTCTTTGTGTTTAACATTTAATTTGTTACTCTAAAATTATTTATTATTTTTTTTCTATATTTTATTTTCACTAGCTTCCCACCTAATTATTATATCGTTTTCTTACATTAAAAATTGAAATATTTTGAATATATTTTAATTATAAAGGGTGAATTTGGAAAGCTAGATCCACTTTCTATTTTGAAATGTTAATTTAAATAGTATTTTTGGAGTATAATTTTAACAGTTTACTCTTAAAATAGCGAACATTTTATGCTTAAAAGGTCCCTTTAAGATGCTGTAAGATAATTACATAACAAATCTTTCATAAACATGGTCCAAAATTATATTAAGACCATGTTTGGTGGAATTTAAAATTCTATTTTTAGTAGATTTTGATAAAAATTGATTAAATATGTGATTAAAAGTTGTAAATTACATCAAATATTTGATTAAAATTAATTGTTGATTTTGATTTAAATTAAAATTTATATTTTAATTCGTACCAAACTAGGTCTAAATTCTTATTTCATATGTCTAACTAGTAATAAAGAACCAAAAATATGAGATTTAATAGAAATTAGATGAATTAATAAGAGGTTGGAAATTAATTTGCTTATTTTAAAGTTAAAGAGTGACTTTTTTACTAGATTGATGATATAGGGACCGATAGTGAAATTTCCCTACTTTCTTCGTATTTTCTGAATTTTTTTGCTCTTTTTTATATGATTTATTAATAAAATATTTATTTCACTCCCATTTAATTGGAAAGAATTATTTCAAAAAGGAAATATAGCTGCTAAGGTACCGAAACTTTGACACGCAATGCACCTTGGTCCTAATTCTTCAAAATGGAGAATTTACATCCTCCATTTTTTTAATTTTATTTTAGTAGCATTTAGGGCCTTGGTAGATGACTTACCTTAGTTAACTATATTTTTCTTTTTCTTTTGGAGAAAAAGGTAAAATTACCCTCATCTTTGAATAAGCGAAAACATTTTTATTTTTTTCTCTTTTCCAACCTACCTTAAAGTGATTGGCGGTAAATGACAAACGGCACTAATTTTAGGGATTTCGACAGGAGGTGAGGTGGATTGGAGTGGAAGATTTTATTTATTTATTTATTCTCTTTTTTCAAATTTCTTTTGTTTATTTTATTTTATTTTTTTCAAAATAATCAAACAATTGAAACGCAAGAGATATCTGTGGATATGCGAGTGTATAGAGAGAGAGTGGAAGAGAGAGAAAAACGAAAAGATGATGAGTGTTTTGATGTGATGAGCATCTGAACTATTATTTCACTAGCAAGTTAGTCCTCGGCTTTAAAAAAATTAATTTAGAGCATATCCAAATCTTACTTTTAAAGAGCGACTATAAATTTATAGAGTAAAATTTTTTAAATATTCCAACATTCTCTTTGTGTTTAACATTTAATTTGTTACTCTAAAATTATTTATTATTTTTTTTCTATATTTTATTTTCACTAGCTTCCCACCTAATTATTATATCGTTTTCTTACATTAAAAATTGAAATATTTTGAATATATTTTAATTATAAAGGGTGAATTTGGAAAGCTAGAGCCACTTTCTATTTTGAAATGTTAATTTAAATAGTATTTTTGGAGTATAATTTTAACAGTTTACTCTTAAAATAGCAAACATTTTATGCTTAAAAGGTCCCTTTAAGATGCTGTAAGATAATTACATAACAAATCTTTCATAAACATGGTCCAAAATTATATTAAGACCATGTTTGGTGGAGTTTAAAATCCTATTTTTAGTAGATTTTGATAAAAATTGATTAAATATGTGATTAAAAGTTGTAAATTACATCAAATATTTGATTAAAATTAATTGTTGATTTTGATTTAAATTAAAATTTATATTTTAATTCGTACCAAACTAGGTCTAAATTCTTATTTCATATGTCTAACTAGTAATAAAGAACCAAAAATATGAGATTTAATAGAAATTAGATGAATTAATAAGAGGTTGGAAATTAATTTGCTTATTTTAAAGTTAAAGAGTGACTTTTTTACTAGATTGATGATATAGGGACCGATAGTGAAATTTCCCTACTTTCTTCGTATTTTCTGAATTTTTTTGCTCTTTTTTATATGATTTATTAATAAAATATTTATTTCACTCCCATTTAATTGGAAAGAATTATTTCGAAAAGGAAATATAGCTGCTAAGGTCCCGAAACTTTGACACGCAATGCACCTTGGTCCTAATTCTTCAAAATGGAGAATTTACATCCTCCATTTTTTTAATTTTATTTTAGTAGCATTTAGGGCCTTGGTAGATGACTTACCTTAGTTAACTATATTTTTCTTTTTCTTTTGGAGAAAAAGGTAAAATTACCCTCATCTTTGAATAAGCGAAAACATTTTTATTTTTTTCTCTTTTCCAACCTACCTTAAAGTGATTGGCGGTAAATGACAAACGGCACTAATTTTAGGGATTTCGACAGGAGGTGAGGTGGATTGGAGTGGAAGATTTTATTTATTTATTTATTCTCTTTTTTCAAATTTCTTTTGTTTATTTTATTTTATTTTTTTCAAAATAATCAAACAATTGAAACTAGCAACAATTTTAATAGAAAGCATAAACAAAGTACAAAGGAGTAGAACTAGACAAAATCTCTAGAAATGACATAATAATTAGAAGAAGGAGCCACTAATTTAGACCAATTAGGAACCGATGAACTTTGTTAAAACCACTCTAGTGTAAAACACAATATATTAAAGAAAAGAAACAAAACGGTTTAAGACCTGAAAGAAAACAAGCAAAACTTGTAAAATTAATGCGCTCTCTAATTTATCTGTGTTCTTCATATGATATTTTGACTTTCTCTTTGTACTGTGTTTAAATTTATCAAGATTGAATTGAAGAAAGGTGAAATTAGCAATGGAATCTTCTCCTTAAGAATGATATTTTCATATAACATTTTGCCTTTCGTTCTTTTCTTTTTATTTATTTAAAATTAAGAAGGAGGATAAAATCATTATATTACAAAACTTTAATGGAAGAAATGGAGTTCAAGTACATTTTGTGTAACTTTTACTTGATTTGAGGGTAAAATACGCTAAATTAAAAGGATATGCAAGATTTGTGCAAAATAGAAAGAAAGGTGAAATTAGCAATGGAATCTTCTCCTTAAGAATGATATTTTCATATAACATTTTGCCTTTCGTTCTTTTCTTTTTATTTATTTAAAATTAAGAAGGAGGATAAAATCATTATATTACAAAACTTTAATGGAAGAAATGGAGTTCAAGTACATTTTGTGTAACTTTTACTTGATTTGAGGGTAAAATACGCTAAATTAAAAGGATATGCAAGATTTGTGCAAAATAGACAAAGGATATGAACTTTTTTGCGCCAATTATCTAATATTTATCTGTGATTTTCCTGAGTTCACGGGCACAATTCGAAGGGAATGAAAATTTAGGGTCAAAGTGCAAAATCACTGGTGGGCAGCACGACGTCGCTTGTCCTGCAATTGTTCCGCCCTAGGCCTAGCTGACTTGCAGGCTCTGCCCCGAAGTTGAAGCAAACGAAACTGGAAAATAAAGCTAAAAATATTTATAATATAGCAATAAATGTCGACTTCGAATTTGGATTCGTCTTCATCAGTCAGTGAATCCGCGGACATTCCCCGTTTTCACCACACCCCATTTTACTGGTAAGCACTCTCTCTTGATTCATTCTATATATGAAACTATATATACATGTGTGTTTGGGTATAAAAATATACTTTTTGAGTAATTACTTGATTTACGTTTTTCAAATTTTTGTATATTCGTCGGTTCTCGATGCTGTTTACTGTCGTGGATCATTCTTGGATTAAATAACAATAATTAGCGGACTCGGGCAACTCTCGTTGAAAAGTTGGCATTTGAAGATACGGTAGCCAAAAAGTTCAAATGAGCACTTCCATCTGTTTAAAGCTCAAAGATCTATAGGAACTCCAAGATTGACATTCTCAAATGAATTCATTTGCAATTCTATATTTTAGGGATCATACCTTGATTATAAACGTGGATGTTATGTCTTAAGTTCTTTTCTTTTCTGATGAACTTTGTAGTATAACTTCTACTATTATCTGGAGAATTCGCTTTAGAATTTAGTTTTGATAATTTCATTAGTATTAAAATATTCGTTGCTTTTGTTTTCGTGATTATATTGATAGTGAGGAGAACGTTTACTTGCTCTGTAAGAAGCTAGCTGCAGATGGAATAGCAAGATCGGATGGTTCTGACCTCTTTGTTATTTTCATTTCCAATGAAAATAAGCAGGCATGTAATCAAGTTATTCTTAATCACTGTCTTGTGCATTCTAGAATATTATGCAAATATGATCACAAAATTACCATTTCCTTGAACCATGCTCATAAGATTAAAATGTTCTATGGTTCTACATCAGATTCCATTGTGGCATCAGAAGGCGAGCCACAGAGCAGATGGGGTTATTTTGTGGGATTACCATGCTATCTGCATACAGGTAAGAACTTAACTGGCTTATCCATGATGATGGAACAATCTAGTTAAGAAATTTGCATTATATGGCAAACCAATATAAGTTGTATATCTTCTTCTTTACCATAAAAATCCGAACTAAAGAATTTTTGTCTCAAAAGATAATTACTTTTTTAAGAGGTTAGAAGTTTATCTTTGCTTACATAATGAAAACTTACTATTATTTTTCATAATGACTAACAGAAAAGAAAAGATAGCAACCTGCCTCATCTAGTGTGGGATTTAGATTCAAGTCTTCCCTTTCCGTCTCCACTTTCTACATATGTTTCTGAAACTATTCGGCCTTCATTTCAGCTGTTTTCAG